ATATTCTTTTTGTTTAAAAAGCTGTATCTCATCACCTAGACATACGAACATGCTGAAATTTTCTTCAAAACTTCTTTTTAGGGTGAAGAAACAGTGGAAGTAATTTCAGCCAAGATACTCTAATAGTTTAGCAGTAAAAAAATATTTTCTCGGGAGAATATTTTTTTTTGTTTAAAAAGCTGTATCTCATCTCCTAGACATACGAACATGCTGAAATTTTCCTCAAAACTTTTGTTTAGGGTGAAGAAATAGTGGAAGTAATTTTAGCCAAGATACTCTAATAGTTTAGTAGTAAAAAAATATTTTCCCAGGAGAATTTTTTTTTTGTTACAAAGCTGTATCTCATCTCCTAGACATACGAAATTGCTGAAATTTTCTTCAAATCTTCTTTTTAGGGTGAAGAAATAGTGGAAGTAATTTCAGCCAAGATACTCTAATAGTTTAGTTGTAAAAAAATATTTTCTCAAGAGAATTTTTTTTTGGTTTTAAAAACCTGTATCTCATCTCCTAGACATACGAACATGCTGAAATTTTCCTCAAAACTTCTTTTTAAGGTGAAAAAATAGTGGAAGTAATTTTAGCCAAGATACTCTAATAGTTTAGTTGTAAAAAAATATTTTCTCAGGAGAATATTTTTTTTTGTTTAAAAAGCTGTATCTCATCTCCTAGACATACGAATTTGCTGAAATTTTCCTAAAAACTTCTTTTTAGGGTGAAGAAATAGTGGAAGTAATTTCAGCCAAGATACTCTTATAGTTTAGTTGTAAAAAAAAAATTTCTCTCAGGAGAAAGATTATTTATTTTTTGAAAAAGCTGTATCTCATCTCCTACACATACGAAATTGATGAAATTTTCCCCAGAACTTCTTTTGAGGGTGAAGAAATAGTGGGTGTAATTTCAGCCAAGATACTCTAATAGTTTAGCTGAAAAAAAAAATATTTTGTCTGAAGAGAATTTCGGCTGCTAGTTTCAGTTTCATCTTCTGCAGCTTTGTTGCCACGACGGTACTCATACTCCATAATCACTCGAATTTTAACGTATCCATGACAGATGAAAAACTTACAAATGGGCTGAAAACAGAACGCTAACCATGTGGCGTGCGCTTAGCTGGCGCGTGTCGTCTGAACGTGCTCTAGAGCACCATTTCCATACCGTAAAAACTGGACTTCATACCGTGGTCGCGCCAAGCTGACATCTAGGCGGGAATTCTACGCAACTACATCCAAATAACAGTAAAGTTATGGTGTTTGAAGTTGTTCTACAACATCCTGATGAAATGAACATTAACTTTGAGGGATTATCCAACTTTGCCGTGCTGATAGTAAAATTTCTAACGACTTGTTACCATGTTTTCGAAATAATATTTATTGATGTTCTGCAAAAATAAAAAAAGAAATACCATATTATGCACGAGTTACGGATTACTGAATCCGTATTGAAGTATCATTATGATAGCATAAAATTTATCGATAATGCCACTGTACACAGTCTGTTATCTTTACAAACGATTACATTTAAAAATGCTTGGAGTTAGGATATATTATGCCGCTATCCAACTTTTAGTCATACATTATTTTATTGTACCCATAGGAACACGTGTCTCATCGATTTCTTTATATCTTAAATAAACAACCTTTTCGTCTAACAACTTAATAGGTACGAAATTGCAGCCAATGAAGATACGTATAACATTGAAATATCCTGAAAATTATCTAATTGTTTCCGTGTTTGTTGTTTTTTTACGATAAATAAATTTTAAAAATTTGGTCTTTTAAAATGTCTAATGTTAATATGGGGTTCGATCGAATCCTGGTAATATTTGTGTGATGGGTCATTATTTATGTATTACTAGCTTCCGCGCGCGACTTCGTCTGCTTTGACTGTAGTTTTGAATTGTAATGTATGTAGGCAAGTTGGGGCAATTTAATAAATCGGGCCTGCGGCAGGGCGGCAGGGCGGCAGGAGCGCGAGACCACCCTTGGTTCTTAGATTGTCCCTGCCGCACTGCACGTTGCCGCGTGTGTAGCGCGATCGGGGCAATTTCTCAATCAGTAGGGATGCAAATTCTTTTGAAATATCGATATTTATATCGAAGTCAGGAAAATATCGATATCCGATATATCGACCATTTTAACTCGATATTATCGATATTTTTCCTTTTTATTTTTTATTGACATTAGAATACGGGGTGAGTATGACACATTCATATGTTTGTTGGTGAGTTTCTCGCAAAATGCATTGAGCCAGATTTTCGTTAAACACGCTTGATGAAATCGCGCCAATAAGGTTTTTTTTTATTGGCTCGCACGGTTTGTGTTTCAGCCACGACAGGACACCAAAAAATTAAAATTATTATCCTGATCAGATACTCACATTCGTTAGCACGAATGCGCCAACCCGCATATGTGGGACGACATTTGCGAATGCCTTTGCTAAGTTTTCACTACATTCGTGCTTTGGAAAAGCACTATGTCGGTTTTTTAGCGCACATCAAATACGCAAATTGCTTAGTCTCCTACACATCAGGGGCGTGCCCATGGCTTCAGAATAGGGTAAGCCCAAAGCTTCCAAAATTACTATACCTATCTTACTTTCTTGACTTGGCGAGCTTAAAAAATTTACGATTTGTATAAGATTCTTACTTAATTTTATTTTGTGTTATATTACAATGATATTAAATTTCACTTAATCAGTAGTTGACAATTATCTAGAAAGAGAGGCAAGGATTTTATTTAAGTGCATGAGTTACCATTAGGTATACGATTGTACCTATATACGTTGGTGTCGATTCTGGCATGATTATCTAAACTTAAAACTAAATTTAACATCAGTCTCTCCTTTTCATTCTGTATAGAGAATGACAAGGATACACTGTTGTCAAATTTAATTTTAGGTTTACAGAATCATGCCAGAATCCACACCAGTTTAGTACCTATATTTCTTGGGGTTCAAGATTTTTTTAATACATCTGATAAGCTCTTGCGATTTCAAAGCAATAGTTATTTCGATATTATTAAATTTAGATAGTCATAGCAGGTAAATTAATTGATATTATTGTGTTCAAATTTAGTCTACGAAATATCGATATTTTGGAATTTCCGATATCGATATTATCGATATCAGTGAATTTTAAATATCGATATTTTGGTCTCGATATTATCGATATTCCGATATATCGTTGCAACCCTATCAATCAGTCGGTTGGTAGCTGTCACACGGAGCGCACGTATTTCGATTAAGAAGGCGACCGATCATAATGAGCAATGAGCATGAAGTTTGGACACGAGTGATCGAATATAAAGTCCGGCCCCACTTGTGGGATTAAAAAAACAAACATTATTTAGTATATATATATTTTTAATATTTTTTATTTTTAAGTAGGTATGTAACTGCTCGATGTTTAAATCCAAAGAAAGTATTACTAGTAATATAGAAATAGTAATATTTTCTTTAGATTCAAAACATCCAGCAGTTACATGTTTAAAAAATTAAAATTATAACTTTAATTTCTATTTCTTCTTTCAAATGTTTAATACTTGTAAAGGTATTAATTTGACATTGTGGGTTACTTATAATGCGAAGAGATGGCGCTGCCTTGTAGCTTAGGAAAGGGCAAGAAAGAATTGGATACGGCCGTCAGGGCCGCGGTAGCATAATTGATCAGTACATTCGCCCGGATAGCGAAGGGGGCTGGTTCGAGTCCCGTCTGCTGCCTGGTCCGCGTGGATATTTTGCTAGTAATATAAACATTACTTATTTACAAGACATTTCTTTCTGTTGCCAATTCTTCACCCAGTATTTACTTTTTTGCGGTAAAACCACAGAAAAAGCCAAGGCCCTGCCTACCGATCTTCTGATTTTTTGATAACACTGGGAACATCAGCAACGCTTGTGTTTAGCTCAACATATCCCCGAAGTCGAACACTGAAAAGCCGATATTGCCCGACCGCCGTGCACCCTAGATTGTCCCTGAGGCAGGCATGTCAGTAGAAGCTTTTACACGTCAATAGACTAAGAAGCAGATTTGCTTACCCATGAATGCCTACATTATAATTGCCTAAACGTTATTTCGTCTACAAATCGAAATGCCTAAAATGCACTATGTCTCTTTAATGCCTAATGCGCAAGTTTGTTTGGAAACTGGATTAGAATATTTCAAATTGACGGTTGACAGCAAACATTATAGTCACGATTGTAGGCAATCTGGTTCTTAGTCAATTAGCGTTTTCGGTATTATTGGAGCAGTGGCATCTTTCATTGTAGGCAGTCTGCTTTTAAGTCAAAATGATGTTTTAGGCATTATTGCAGCAGTGGCATCTTACATTTCAGGCACTGTGTTCCATAACCGATGGGAATTGATGTACCTAATGATTAGTGAACTAGATGATCCGGCGAACTTCGTGTCGCCTAACATACGATGAATGTGGTTAATTTAGGGAAAAGATATAGTGAGTCAAACTTAAGATGGATATTTTATTGGACTTTTTTTACAGAACTTTTGAAGGGGAACTTTTATTATTATACTTGATTTTTGTGTAACTAACCATTTACGCAGCGCTCGCAATGACAGAACTCAAATGGAATATTTTTTCCCGTTTTCGCAACATTTTTAATCTATTCTCCGCTTCGACTCCGTCATAGCGTGATGTAATATAGCCTATAGCCTTCCTTGATAAATGCACTATCCTAAAACTTTTTTTTTAAATCGGACTAGTAGTTCCTAATACCCGCCATACACACTACATAAATCGTTACGATTAGACTGTACAGTCCGAACGGTACCGATACATCGTAGCGTGTATGTTATAAAACTGCACAGTTTCCTATACTAAACGAAATCGTATAAACTGTACCGTTCGAACTGTACAGTCTGATCGTAACGATTTCTCGTAGTGTGTATGGCGGGTATAAGATTAGCGCGTTCAACCAAACAAACTAACTCTACAGCTTTATAATATGTATTAGTATAGATATAACTGCATCTACTCTTATTGTTACAGGTAGTTAAAAAATAGAATTAGCCACGGAGCGCTCAAGTCCAGCGCTGACTGGCGCCAATCGCCTCAATGAATCATATATGCCAGTTCTGGCCAATGAAAATGCAAGGTAAGTTAAAGCTCTATTATGTCAATACAAATAATTTATGTTTTCAACAATAGTATTTAGTATAAATATTCGATGATAATGTTTATTATCCCGGATTAATATGTAAATACATTACTAGAAAAAAATCCACGCGGACCAGGCAGCAGTCGGGACTCGAACCCGCACCCTTCGCTATCCGGGCGAATGCACTGATCAATGGCCGTATCCAATTCTTTATAGCCTTTCTTAAGCTGCAAGGCAGCGCCATCTCTTCGCATTATAAGTAACCCACAATGTCAAATTAATACCTTTACAAGTATTAAACATTTTGAAAGCAGAAATAACAAGTATAGATATAATTTTAATTTTTTAAGCATGTAACTGCTCGATATAAATCTAAAGAAAATATTACAAGTCCCATCTGCTGCCTGGTCCGCGTGTATTGTTTTCTAGTAAGTTACATACTTAAAAAATATAAATGTAAATACATATTTTTAATTTACATGATTTTCGGTCTCCTATGTTTTCTCTACCTAGATTATCACATATAGAATGTGAAAAACTAATTTTAATTTTCTATATTTTACAAAAAAATATCACTATCATCCATATTTTCGATTTTTATATCATAAAACATGAGTTACTTCACATGAGTGAGTGACTTCACAAAAAATTATATATTTTTTACTTGTTTGCATTCTTGGCACGTGGTGGCCGCGTGTGTTTATTTCTTTCGCGTATTATTCGTCGTAATTTGATTTTGATTCTCTAAATTCATTTATTCCACATTGTCTACCCCCTCGTCGCAGCGCTTAGCGTGGCGGGGCGGGGCGCCGAGAGGCCGAATTTGAGAAATTATTTTATTAATAATTATTTTAGCTGTAAAAGAACTTATTGAAGAATCATCTCTTTTTAATGATTTGGCCTATATAAAAAGCAATTATTGCCTTTTATCTCCCAAATAAAAGCACTAGAAAATCCTTCAACAACGCTAAATGCGCGCCCTAAACGCCCAGTAAATAAACTTTAAAGTTTACAAAACAATACAAATTTTAAGGAATACATATATACCTTTGATTTCTTAAAATACAATGTTTTATTCAATTAAACATGCTTTAAACTTCTTATCGATATATACTTATTTTTTTGGTAGATTCTGATTCGTCTTATGGTGACAACCATTATCGATATCAGTATTCGAAAAGGGTTTGGATTAAGTAACTGCTTAATCGCGTACAACAGCATTTTGCATACTGACAATTTTTGCTTGGTACACTTTAGCCATTCCGAATAATATAAAAAATATCATGCACCCTGATGACGATGTTTATCTAATATATAAAATTCTCGTGTCGCGGTGTTTGTGGTTAAACTCCTTCGAAACGGCTCGACCGATTTTCGTGAAATTTTGTGTGCATATTGGGTAGGTCTCAGAATCGGATGTAATCTATTTTTCATCCCCCTAAATGTTAAGGGTACCGCCCCCCCCCCCATTTTTTTTAATTTTAGATATTTTTTTTTTTATTTTTTTATGATACATCATACAAAAATACATACAACCCTAAATTTTCACCCTTCTACCACCAACCCCTATTTTTATGGCGGTACGAAGTTCGCTGGGACAGCTAGTATTATATAAAATACAAAAAGTTATTTACGCCATATTCAAGTCATGCAAGGCAAGATTGTAACGAGCTCTAAAATATTAAGGAATTTGGAGTTGCTTTTTTAATATTACATGATTACGTGGTACGTTTCGACTTAAAGTAAAAATTCACCATAGCCTGCATGCAACACCACATAATCCGATTGCTATGAACTTCAGGTAAATTTTCAAACAACTTTCTTGACTATATACTTCATATTGTTCATATATCATCAATAAAGGTAGGGCATAGCTGATTTCACGCACGAAAGAAGCGTTTGGGGAAGTAACCTCCAACTAATAGAAGACAACAATAAAATATCACTACCTTTTTTTTTTAGTAAGTTTCCAGGGCTCCACGGGGTAGGGGTAGTTGTCAAATTTCCTGTAGCAACATTGTAATTGCAATTTGATGGTAGGTAATTAATAAAATAAAATAATCACGAGCAGGATGACCTGCAAAAATTATCGATGTAGTGGATAAAAGCACCTAATACTATCTTTAGACATAGTGACGTTTCTTTTTCTACCAGTGATCGAAGTTGAAGGTTTTCGGTAGTTCGTAACAAATCTAATATCCGATGCATTTGTAACAATAAACAACATTGTTTATTGTTCTTTACAACAATGACGGTAGTTTTACTTTTAGTTAAGATGACGGTCTGTTTTCTTGCGACCTGTGTATATTTAAGAACGACATTGACGGAGAATTTTGGAAGAAAAGAATTGTAGGGTGCGACAGTAGAACTAGTACTAGCAAATTAATGATTTAGATTGATACTTGTATTGTATATAAATGTTAGTTTTTTGAGAATCCCTTAGGAACCCAACATTTTGGCTAGTTAAAAAGTATCTTGTCTCAATCCAGGTAACAATAAGTGTACCAAATTTCAGCCATATCCGTTCAGCCGTTTTTATGTGATTGAGTAACAAACATATAAACTTTCACATTTATAATGTCAGTAGGATATGATTAAATGGAAGTAAGTGTTCGCTGATATGAAATGTGAGCGGTTCGGTAATGATGGCGACATGGCGACGGCAGCAGCGACAGGCGGTCTCCATGACGACATCGGAGGCAGAGCCCCGGCGAGGCGAGTGCGGGCCCGATCAATCCCGGGCAGAGGAAGCCCCGCCACGAGCGGCGCCGCCGCTGTCCGCCCTCGCCGCGCACTCCGCCCGCGCACTACGCAATCCTTAACTCACTTGGCAGGATCCCCGGAAGATTGAATTACCTAAACAAGTAAACAACTCACTTTCACATGCAAAATTAAAGTTCTCATCGAATTGATATAAAAAAAAACCGGCCAAGTGCGAGTCGGACTCGCGCACCGAGGGTTCCGTACAAACCTGCAAGGTTTACAAAGTTCGTTCATTACGACAATCGAGTCATAACTATGGTATTTTTATTGCAAAATGAAATTCATAACATTACAATGGGGAAAGATGGAGGAGCATAAATTTAAGACAAAGATCTCTTTATCGTTTAAGTAATCCTTTATTTTATATTAACACATCATTTATCTATAATATAACTGAAACACTTATACTAGCCTTGCAGCAGACTTGCGAAAGTTCTTTTATTAAAGTTATTTATTTACTAAGTTTTTAGTCACTATTTAGAAATCTGGTAAGTATTTGATATGAATTTCAACTTGATAGCTCTACGCGTTCATGAGGAAAAAAGTAATAAGTTTATATTTATTAAAAAATATATATTTTGTAATGTAACTAAAAATTTAAGGTTTTCGGAATTTTTCCTTTATGTGTGCTATAAAACGTTGCTTCATGCCAAATTTCAAGATTCTAGGTCGACTGGAAGTACCCTTTAGGTTTTGATTCCCTTGCGAGTACTTGCGAGTTTCAAAATATGCAGCTTAAATTGCTGTTTCTTTTGATTGCGTTGACATAGAAGTTTGATTTTGTTACAGCTTAAAGGTATTATAGACCTGAGTATTTGGTATGAATTTCAATTTAATACCTCTACGCGTTTATGAGGAAATGGGTAGTAAGGTTAAAATTATTAAAAAAAAATATATTATGTGATGTAACTAAAAATTTATGGTTTTCGTAATTTTTCCTTTATCTATGCTATAAACGTTGCTTGGTACCAAATTTCAAGATTCTGAGTTCACGGGAAGCACCCTGTAGGTTTTGATTCCCTTGCAAGTGTCGAAATTTGCGGCATAAACGGCTGTATCTTTTGATTGCGTTGGCTTAGAAGTTTGATTTTTTCACAGCTTCAAGGGACAGTAGACCTGAGTAATTGATATAAATTTCAGCTTCATACCTCCACGCGTTCCTGAGAAAAAGGGTCTTGACAGACGGACGGACGGACAGACGGACAACAAAGTGATCCTATAAGGGTTCCGTTTTTACTTTTGAGGTACGGAACCCTAAAAATGGTCATTATTTTTAGAAATTCAGGACGCGTAAGAATTTTACTTTTAAGAATTATGTAACTTTTCAATGTAAGTCAATTCTTCGTCTTTAATTCGTCCCAATTCCGGTAGTTTATAACGTTCATTACGTTTCGACTTAACATTATGTTCGTTAACTAACATAAACTTGGATTAGTATTTCGTTTTTAACACAACAAATAACTCTCACTACATAAAACACCAAACAATTAGCACATTATTAATTATGGAAGCCTAAGAAGACACCTTATTAGTCTTCTCGCTAAAACAGAATCTCCTTTCGAAATTGTAAAAGAAGAAGAGCGAAAAGCTATATGGATATTATAAGTGGTATCTAATACACATATAACAAATATATATAAATAAATATGTACACATGGTACAATTTTTTTAAACAAAAAATAAAACCTACGTCAAAATCGAAAATGGAACTAAAAAGTAAAAACATAATATCTGGTTCATGTTTTGGAAGTCGAGCGGGTCAAGATTGAAAGATGTATTATTACCGATCAGAAAAAAATCTATTTAATGTTTCAATCTTGACCCCCCCCGCCCGACTTCCAAATCATGAACCAGATATTATTTTTTTACGTTTTAGTTCCATTTTCGATTTTTAAGTCGATTTTTTTTTGTTGCGAACATGTTTCTCGTTGTCTGTGGTAAAAAATTTGTTTATATGTTGGTGCTATTGTCAAAATGACAGATGTCCCGGTATTTTGTGTTTGTTTTGAGAACCGTCAGTCATTCTTTGTGTTCGTAGGTAAAAATTATATTTGCTATTATTTACTTGGTAAATAAAAAATAGTATGGACTCAACACTTAGAAAAAAAGGTAAATGTGGCTTTACAACAATTTTTAATTCAGAACCGACTTGGACGACCCGACACGCCGTGGTCTTGGTCTGCCCTACCCCGAGAGTGTTTTTTAGAGCCCGGAGGCGCGGAGGGAGAGCAGCC